AAATGCCAGAAGATTAAAGTGCAAAGAGAAGAGTAAAGAGGTGCGAAAAAGAAATGCATCGCTGTTGCTGGCAGTGCAGCAGCAGACACGGCGCCGCAGCAGCAACGCAGCAGCAGCAGCTGCTGCTGCTGCTGCTGCTGCAGCGCCGCAGGCATTCTGGCCTTCTTAGAGGCAGTGGAGTGCAACAAGAGGAAAATAAGGGGAAAGAGGCAGGCAAGCGCAGCAGCAGCAGCGGCGCAGCGGCTAGAGCGGGGCCCAGCGCGAGCCCTAGCAGCCGATTTGAGGCTTTTTCAGCTTTCTAGGAAGCAGAAAAATGAAATTAAAATGCATTTGGAGTTTTTAAAATGCAAAAAGACAAAAAATCGGAGAAGAACGGGGGCTGCTGGGTGGCGCGCTGAGCGCGGACTCACTTGCTGCGGGTCTGCAGCGAGCGCAGCAAATGCTTCGAAAACGAACTCAGCCGTTCGCAGCAATTAATTAATTAATAATTGAATTAATAAATTGAGTTTTAATTCAACAAAAGAAAAGCAAAAAGCGCAACACCGGGGAATCCGGCGCCGCTGCAGCATGCAGTCGGCGCCAGCCGCAGGGGCTGGCGAACCTGCACAAACCCCGAGTTCCGCGGATCCAGTGGACAAATGCCTTTTTTTTGTTCATTTCTTTATTTATTTCCACAAAAAAAGCTCCATTTTAATGCCGAAATCCCCGAAAACGGCTTTTAATTGCCGCTTTCCTCGCGGTTTCCCGCGCGGCTTCTGCGCTGCTGTGTCACTTGCTGCTGCTGCGCGGCTTCTTCGGCAGCAGCAGCCTCTTGTCTAGTGCAAATAAGTCCTCCGTTTTATTCTTTTGATTTATTTAATTAAATAATTATTCATTTTCAATAATGATAAACTCACTAACTTGCTGCCTGCTCCACTTCCACCCGCAGCAGCAGCACACCCCCCTCTTTAGTTCATTTTTCATTCTCTCTAGGGTTTCTGCAAACCTCTTTTTAGGGTTTGCACTACTCTTTTAAAACTCCTTTTGTGTCTTTTAAGCTGCTGCAAATTTGCTTTTCACTTTCATCTTCAAAAGAGGTCCCATAAAGCTGCAGCTGCAGCAGCACGAGGCTGCAGCAGCAGATCAAAATGTGAGTCTTTAAAGCTCAACGCGAGCAGCAGCAGCTGCTGCTGCAGGTCTTTTCCGGGACAGCAGCAGCAGCAGCTGCTGAGGGTCTTTCCTGCGGCTGCAGCAGCTGCAACAGCAGCAGCAGCAGCTGCTGCTGCTGCTGCAAGCCTTTTCTTCGGCAGCAGCAGCAGCAGCAGCAGCAGCGGCTTAGTGCCCAAGGAGCAGCTGCGCCCTCAGTGGCAGCAGCAGCTGCAGCATGAAATTAGGAAAATTAGCAATTTAAAGGAATTTAATTGCTTTTAATTGGATTGCATGCATGCAATTGCAAATATTAATAATTTGAAGTAATTTAATTGCTTTTACTTTAATTTAAAGTAAATTAAATTTTAAAAAATGATTTTAATTCGATTCGCGCTTCCTGCTGCTGCTGCGGCTGCTGCTGTGGCTGCTGCTGCTGTGGCAGCAGCAGCTGCTGCTGCAGCGCAACTGCGCCGTTTGCTGCTGCTAGGCCCTGCTGCTGCGCTGCTTTTTGCTGCTGCTTTCTGTCTTTTAATTATTTAATTTTTATTTAATTAAAATGTTTTTTTAAAATTAAAAATGGCAGAAAGAAAAGCCAAATTCGCTGCGGCTGCGCCAGCCTTTTGCTGCATGCAAAAGAATTGCAAAATTAATAAACAGTTAAATAATTATTTAAATGTTTTAGCAGCAAAATAGCATTTTTAATTATTAATCATTTGAATAATAATTTAAATATTTAATAATTAAAAATGCCATTTTGCTGCTTTCTAGATGCAGCAGCAAAAGCTCTGAAGGCCAGAAAGCTGCTGCAGCTGCTGCAGCTGCTGCAGCTGCTGCAGCTGCTGCTCATACAGTGCTGCGCCGCGCTGCGTTTTGCTGCTGCATTCTGCTGCTGCCTTTTGCTGCAGCAGCAGCAAAAGGCAGCAGCTAAGAGCAGCTGCAGCAGCTGCTGCAGTGCGGATGAGCTCCCGCACCAGAGGCAGCAGCAGCAGCAGCAACTGCAGCTGCTGCAACTGCTGCTGCAGCGGTCAGCGGCCACTACTGCCCCGCTAACTAACTAGCTAGCTAGCTAGCTAACTAGCTAGCCAGGCAGCTAGCTAGCTAACTAGCTAGCCAGCTAGCTAGCTAGCTAGCTAGCCACATAATTGGCTGTTTGGTCTTAAGTTTTGAGTTATCTTTCGACAAAATGAAAAGGAGTTTCTTCTTTGTTTTTCTCTTTTGAAAAAATAAAAAGTCTTTAAGACCTCCGTAGCAAAATGGAACGCAAGAGTCTAAAGGGGAAAGTGCTGCTGCAAGGGTTTAGGGTTTAGGGTTTAGGGTTTAGGGTTTAGGGGCCAGGAAATAAGAGGATATGGTCGGGGGGTAGCAGAAAAATGTGAGATCTAGGGTTTAGGATTTGGGGTTTAGGGTTTGCTGTATTTGCTGTTTATGAAGTTAAGTAGAACTTGTTATCCTTAAATTCAACAATTAGAGTTTAGGGTTTAGGGTTTAGGGTTTAGGGTTTAGGGTTTAGGGTTATTATCTTGCCCCGCAGGGGACGGCCGACAGCGGGTTGAGCCCAGGGGTGCGTCGGCGCAGCTCGAATGGCCATTTTGCGAAAAAAATGAATTTTTGAAGAGAAATTAAATAAAAATTAAATTATATTTGCTAAATAAATGAACATTTTGCAATTTAATTGACCAGTGGTCTGCAGAGGCAGCAGCAGAGGCCCTGAGTGGTCACGCGCAGTCGGCTGCGCCCGCGGCCGAGGGGCCAGACAGGTCTAAATTGGCGGAATTTTCGGGTCAAAAGTGAAATAAAACGAAAATAAAATAAAAATAAATGAAATAAAGTTAAAATTAATTCTTTTTATTCTTCTTTTGAGGCGGTAGACCCGTCAGCGGGCTGTACGGACAGCAGCGGCGATCGGCGGTTAAGAATGTCTTGTGCTCGACTCGCCGTTTCTCCGCGAAGTCAAGGCCTCGATTGCATTTAATTGAATATTATTTGCATTTATTTGCTTTTAAATTAACTCTGTTGTCGTTTTTAATTAATTTGATTCATTCATTTGATCTGAATCGTCGCCGCCGGACTTGCTGCGAGACTTCTGCTCGCCGAGCTGTCCATACACCCCAGACAGCCACCCGCCACGCCCAACCGCCGCCCCTTCGCTTCTTCACTTTTATAAATTAAAAAAAGGATTTTCTTTGTCTGTTAGTTTTAAATTTGAAGAATGGTCTTTGTTGTCTGTTAGCAGCAACCCGCGGCGCCATGGCGTCCTCCTCTCCGGGCTTGGCCCGGTCCCCCCTCAAAACCAGCAGCAGCAGCAGCAGCAGCAGCAGCAGCAGCAGCAGCAGCAGCAGCAGCAGCTCGTACGACTCTGCGGGCTGGTGGAGCCGTTTGTTTTTCTCTTGGCTGTCCCCCGTGAACCTGCGGTGTCTGGGGGGCTCTGTGCTGCCGCAGGAGCTGCCGGGCTTGCCAGCAGCAGATCTGCAGCAGCTGCAGCAGGGGCCCCTGGGGGCCCTCCTGCTGCAGGAGGAGAAGACCCGGGGGGCCCCCTCGGTCTTGCGGGCCACCCTGAGGCTCTTCTGGGGGCCCCTCGCCACGGCCTTTGCCTGGGCTGTTCTTAAGGAACTTCTCAGCTTTGCAAACACTTTGCTGCTTCGACAAATTTTAAAAACTGAACAAATGGACTTCCCCGGCTTTTGGGCTCGCGGTGAGCCCAGCTGTACATACACCCGAGCTGTACAGACACCCGAGCTGTGCAGACACCGCAGCGAATTCCGGGGGTCGTGGGCTGCTGCGCTCTTTCTTTTTGCTGCACTGGTTTGCTGCTGCTGCTTTCATTCCATTTGTTTGCTGCTGCTGCTTTTATTCCATTTGTTTGCTGCTGCTGCCCTTTATTCCCCCCACTTGTTGGCTGCTGCTGCTGCTTTTAATTCCCCGCATTTGTTTGCTGCTGCTGCCTTTATTCCTTCCGTTTGTTTGCTGCTGCTGCTGTTGATCCCCCGCAAGTGCCTGCTGCTGCTGCTGCTGCTAATTCGCTGCGTTTGTTTGCTGCTGCTGCTGCTGCAGGCCTTGCTGCTGCTGCAGCGCTGTCTGTGCTGCAGCTGCTGCTGGTCTTTCTGGACAGCCACTTGGACTTTTATATTTGTCGCATTTCCGTTCGAGTGGAAGCAGCTTTATTAAATTCTCTTCACGAAAGAATTCTGAACTTCGAAAAAAGTCCCGAGTTGGCGCTGGTGGCGCCGGGGTGTACGTACACCCCAGCGCCGGGGTGTACGTACACCCGGGGGCGCTGGGGTGTACGTACACCTCGTGGGCGCGGCGCGAAAGAAGCGTCGAAAGAAGCAAATTCGGAATTAATAAGTGCCAAAAAAGGAACTATTTTTAATTTAATATTTGTTGATGTTCCTTCAATTGCAGAAATGGTCTTAACAGCAGCAGATCTCGTGCTGCTGCCGCTGCGCATTGGGCTGGCTTCGCTGCTGCTGGCTATGCAGGTGGGCGGGGGAGCAGCAGCAAAACTTTTTCTTTTATTTAAATTGCTTTTTAGTTCTTTTCTTTTTTCATTTAATTCTTTTTCTCTTTTCTTGCTGCTTCCTTTGAAGCAAATAAAGCTGGGCTCATTTCCTTTGCTCTTGTGAAAAATAAAAACTTAAAACCGTTTAGCAGCAAAGTCAAGGCGCCCTGCAGCAGCAGCAGCAGCAGCAGCAGCAGCAGCAAGGCCCTGTCTGTTGCAGCAAAAGTGTCAAGTTCTGTCTGCACATTTCTTACTCTAAAGTTGCATGAATGTCAGTTTGGTTCAATTGTTTCTTTTTTAATTTCTTTTGGCACTTCATTCCTCTTTAAATGCCTTTAATTTCGCTGCATTTATTAAATTAAATTAAACTAAATGATTAAAATGGAATTAAATAATTAAAACTTTGTTTTAATTTTGTTTTTTTTTTTCAGGTTGGCTCCAGCTGCTTGCCAGCAGTTTTGACTTTACTTGTAATTGTTTTTTTTGCGATTTGTTTGGAGGCCTACAACAGCAGTTTGAAAGTGCCTTTTATGGTGAGACTGGTGGTTTTAAGGTGGTTTAAAAACCCTTTTTTAGGGTTTTGAAACAGGAAAGCAGGGGGGTTAAGGGGGTAAAGAAAGGGGAAGAAAGGGGCTTTCAGGGTTTTGAAAAACGGGAGAAAATGGGGTCTTTTTAGGGTTTAAAAACAGAAAAAAGTGTTTTAGGAAATTTAAAAACAGGAAAAAGGGTTTTTCAAGGGTTTGGAAAGCAGAAGAAAGGGCTTTTTAAGGGTTTAAAAAGAAGAAAAAGAGTCTTTGAACGTTTTAAAACAACAGAGAAAAAAGGGAGTCTTGTAATCTTTAGAAGGGAAATCAAAAGGGTGTTTTAGAGTTTTAAAAATCAGAAAGAAGCGAGTTTTAAGTGTGAGGGAAAAGGGCACTTTGAGTGTTTGAAATTCTGGGGAAAAGGATGTTTAAGGGCTTAGAAATAAGGGTTTAGAAAGCAGAAAAGGGCATTTTAATTAATTGGAGAAGCATCTCCAAGTGCGTCTTTATGTTTTAATTTTTCTCCTTCAATTTAAGTCCCCTTTAGTCCGGGCGCGAGCAGGTGTACGTACACCTGGAGCATGCGGAAAAGTGGGTTTTTGGGGTGTACGTACACCTGGAGTCCGCGCTGGTTGAGTTTGGATTTTTATTTTTATTTATTTTTTGATTTCAGAAAAGAAGAGACAAAAGAATCGAAAGGACTCATGAGTGTCTTTCGGAAATGCGGACTTTGCGGCTTCTTGGATGGGAAGAAGTTGCAAAAGAAATTTTAAAAAAAGAAAGAAATGAAGAACTCAGTTGGAGTTCTTTTCGCATGTACCTCTCGGGCTTGAGTTACTGGCTCACTGCAGCAGCTGGTGACTAAATGCCAAATAAAATAATTATTTTGCATGCAAAATAAAATAATTATTTTGCTTCCAAATTAATTCTTTCTTTCCACCTTTTAAGCAGCAAACAAACTTCTACACAAAGGGCAAAACCAGGTGTCGGTACACTCCATTTCTGCTTTTATTTGAACTCTTTTCAGCTTTTCAGTTTTATAAAATCCATTTGCAAATTTCGGATTGCATTTAAATTCTGGCTGTTTCTTTCCACTTTTTATTTCCTGAAAATGTCTTTTTGGAGTTATTTCAATCCATTTTGAGCTATTTTTTAATTTGCATTTAAATGAACTTCAGTGGCTGCAGCGAAGTCCGCGGTTTGCTGCTGCCAGGTGTACGTACACCGCAGTGACACTCGGAAGCCGAACAGCTGCTGCTGCTGCTGCTGCAGCTGCTGCAGCAGCCCTGCAGCTGCTGCTGCAGCAGTTGCTGCGGGTCTCGCTGCTTCACAGCCCAAGAACGCTCATCTTCGCCCCCCGCTGCTGCTGCTGCTGCTGTTGCTGCTGCTGCTGCTGCTGCTGCGTCTCAGGAGCTGCCACCTCGATTGCAACATTTGCTGCTTTTACTCTTCCCTTCATTCAAGGGCGGGTGGGGGTGAGTTTGGTGCTGGGGTGTCTAGGCACCTCGGGTGTACGTACACCTCGGGGCTACAGGGGCGCGGAAAAAACCACAAAAGAAATTTAAAAAGACCACTTTATATAATTTTGCATTTTAAATGCAACTATTGGGATTATTTTTGCCATTAATTGCTTTGCTGCTGCGCAATTTGCTGCTGCAGGCCCTAAACATGAAAGCTGAACTTGTTATTCCCGTTATTCATGTTATGGACAACTTTGTGGGGCCCCTTGCAGACTTGCCCTACACTTTGTCCACTTTAATTGAAGGCCAAATTTCCCTAAGTCGAATCAAACACTTCATTTTCACTTCGCACCCAGCAGCAGCAGCAGCAGCAGCAGCAGCAGCAGCAGCAGCAGCAGCAGACGCTGCTGCTGCGGTGGAGGCCGAGCAGCAGCCCCTGCTCAGTACTCGCCAGAGAGAAGATGGAGAAGAAGAAGAAGACGCAATGCAGGAACAAGAGCTGCTCGATATGGCCCAGCAGCTGCTGCAGTAGGGAATAGACTTCTTTGCTGCTGCTGCTGCTGCTGCTGCTGCTGCTGCTGCTGCTGTTGTTTTTTTGAGATCCCGTGTATTGCCTTTGCTGCTGCAATTGTCCCGCTGGAAATATCAGTTGTTACTGGAGTGTGTGTTGTTGTGTGCTGCTGCTGCTGCTGCTGCTGCTGCTGCTGCTGCTGCTGTCAGGGCTATACAAGATCCAACGCTGAGGGTCCTCATGATATCTGCTTCTTTCTCTTGGCACCCTGGCCCTGTCTGCACGCCCGAAGCCTCCCCCGTGAGCCCCCCAGCGGTCTCCAGCAGCAGCAGCAGCAGCAGCAGCAGCAGCAGCAGCAGCAGCAGCAGGTTGTGTCTGAGCAGCATCAACTTGGAGCTGAAGTGCGGCGAAGTGGTCCTCGTCACGGGCCCCCCCGGGAGCGGGAAGAGCAGCCTAATCCAGGCAGTGCTGCGTCGTTTGGAGCTGCAGCAAACTGGAGGGGCGCTGTACATAGCAGCAGCCCCAGCAGCAGCAGCAGCAGCAGCAGCAGCAGCAGCAGCAGCAGCAGCAGCAGCGCCTGTGGGCTTCGTGCCGCAGGAGCCCTGGCTGTGCGGGGGCACCGTGCGGGAAAACATAACCTTCGGAGAGCCCTTTGAAAGCAGCACTTATGCTGCAGTGGTGTCTGCCTGCGAGTTGGGGGCGGACTTCAGCAGCTGGGCGCACGGAGACCTGCGGAAAGTGGACGAGGGGGGCCTCGATTTGAGCGGCGGGCAGCGCGTTCGAATCGGCATTGCTCGAGCTGTTTACTGCTGCAAACTGCACGAGCTGAGGACTCGAAAAAGTCCAGAAAAATCAAAAATGGCGAAAAAAGAAGTGCGGCGACGCGCGGCGGCGCGGCTGGAGTCTGAGGTGTACAGACACCTCGCGGCGGCGGCGGCGCGGCGCCGGCGCGCGCCGCGACTGCGCACTTTTTTGGAAATGGAAATTAAAAAGGAAAAGGAAATGCAAAATGAAAAAGAATTGCAAAAAGAATTCCAAAAAAGCAGCTCCGAACTCGGCTGTTTGCTCTGCTTCGACGAGTGCTTCAACAGCCTCGACTTGGCCGTCGCCGCAAATCTCTTTCAAAACCTCTTCGGCCCAAAAGGCCTTTTGAAAAACTCCGCAGTTCTAGTTTGCCTCAACGACAACTCCCTCATAGGCCTCATGCGCCAGCAGCAGCACCAGCAGCAGCAGCAGCAGCAGCAGCAGCAGCAGCAGCAGCAGCAGCAGATGCGCTTCACCATTTGCAGACTCGTCAAGGGCGCCATTGCCTGGCGCGGCGGCGTCGCGGAATTCACTGCAGCTCTCGGCGCCCCAGCACCTGCAGCAGCAGCAGCAGCGGGAGCAGCAGCAGCAGCAGCAGCTGCAGCAGCAGCAGCAGAGGAGCCGCTGGGCACCATTGAGAACATTTGGGCGGAACAGGACAGCAGCAGCAGCGAGGCGGCGGGTGTACGTACACCTGAGCAGCAAGCTGCAGCAGAGCCCGAAGCTGCTGCAGATCTTTTTGCAGAAATAAAAACTGAAAGAACAATTCCTCCAACTGAAGAAACTGAAAGTGGAGTAGTTGGGCTGAAGTCTTATTTGTGGTGAGGCAGCAAATGGCATTTGAAGCAGCAGCGGCCCGCAGCAGCAGGAAATAGCTGCAGCAGCAGCAGCAGCAGCAGCAGCAAAAAATGCAGCAGCTGCAGCGCTGCCGCTGCAGCGCCCCTGCTGCAGCAGCTGCGCGCAGTGCTGCAGCAGCAGCAAAAGTGGACTTAGAGAGAAGCTTAGGGGCTCGTTTTTGGCCTCAAACTTGGGGCTTTTTGCTGCTGCTTTCTGCTGCTTTTCCCCACTTTGGGGCTTTTGCATGCATGCGTTTTTGCGGGAACTTCGCGCAGGTACTTGAGACAAACTGGAAGATTTTTGTCCATTTCTTTTTTCTTAATTGTCATTTTTGGAAGCATTTCAGATGTGCTGAGTGACCTCTGGCTCGCGCGCTGGACAACAATGGAGTCCCCAGCAGACTCCGACGCAGCAGCAGCAGCAGCAGCAGCAGCAGCACCAACCAGCAGCAGCAGCAGCAGCAGCAGCAGCAGCCTGCTCGCCGCTCTTGTGCACGAGCGCTTCCTGCTTGTCTTCATCGGGTGAGTACTGCTGCTGCTGCTGCTGCTGCTGCTGCGTAGTTCCGCCGTTGCTGCTGCTATTGGTGCTGTGGCCTGCTGCCCGCGCAGCAGCAACAGCTGCTGCTGCAGCAGCTGCTGCAGCAGCAGCTGCTGCTGCTCTTTTTGGCTCCCTCTCTCTCCCGCAGGAGCAGCAACTGCTCTGCCGCTGCCTCCCGCAGCAGCAGGAGGAGCAGCAGCTGGCCTTCTCTCTCGCAGCAGCAGTGCGGGTCTGTGTTTGCTGCTGCAGGCTGTCTTGTTTGAACATGACTTTTGAACTTTTTGAAAAAGTTGTGGGAGTGAAGGGCTCGATGAGAGCAGCGCGGAAAGTGCACGAGCAGCTGTGGTGGGGTGTATGTACAGCGCCGCTGTGGTTCTACGCGCGCAACCCCGTGGGGCGCATTCTGAATCGGTTTGCGAGCGACATTTCAATAATTGATTTTGGAATTTTGCGGAGAATTGGTTTTTCGTGCACTGCCGCAGTGTCTTGCGCGCTTTCGGTGAGGTGTCTGTACACCTGAATTCCGAAAAAGCAGAAAAAAAGGAACCATTTTCGAATTTTAAAAATTTTTTTTCGTTTTCGACTTTTCGCGACTTTTCGCTTTTCCTGCGCACGCTGCGGTGTACGTACAGGTCGTCGTCCTCAGCCTCGCCTGCCGCTGGGTACTTCCCCTCTGGCCTTTGATGATCATTTCTTTTTATTTGATGGTTTTTCGCTATTTCCGGAGCTCTTCGCGGGAAATTCAAAGAGCTTCTCTCCTCTCTTTTTCCCCAATCCTCTCAGCCTTCAGCGAGGCTCTTTCTGGCAAAGAAATCATTTCAAATCTCCAAAAACAAAACTTCTTCCAAACTCATTTCTTAACCCATTTGGAACTCTCCCAAAGAACCAAACTCACGCAGTGGGGGTCAGCCCCCGCACTCCCAAACTCCTGCTGCTGCTGCTGCTGCTGCTGCTGCTGCTGCTGCTGCTGCTGTTGGTGGGAGTCCCGTCGCAGCAGAACTGCTGCTGCTGCTGCTGCTGCTGTTGTTGGTGGGAGTCTTGTCGCAGCAGAAGCTGCTGCTGCTCCTGCTGCTGGGGGTCCCGTCATGGCAGAAGCTGCTGCTGCTGCTGCTGCTGCTGCACCTGCTGCACCTGCACTCGCAGCTGTTTAGTTGGAAGGCCGTCTTTTGGGCAGCAGCAGCGTGCGCCTTGCATGCAAATGTCTCGCTTGTGCTGCTGCTGCTTCTGCTGCTGCTGCTGCTGCTGCTTCTCAGCGTCAATTCCTGGTCGAACATTCGGCTGCAGCTGCTGCTGTTCCCCCTCGTCGTTTTAAATGCAACTCTCCCGCGGCTGCTGGAGGCTTCGCCGAGTGTGGGGTCTTCAGGTGTACGTACACCTGAAAACCCCACAAACATCGGACTCGTCGGACTCGCCATTTCTTATTCTCTTTCCATTGCAGGAGCTCTCCGGCGATTTCTCACTAATGTCACTGCAACTGAAAAAGACATGTGCTCCGTCGAGAGGGTCCAGGTTGCTGCTGCTGCTGCTGCTGCTGCTGCTGCTGCTGCTGCTGCTGCTGCTGCTGCTGCTGCTGCTGCTGCTCTGCTGCTGCTGCTGCTGCTGCTGCTGCTGCTGCTGCTGCTGCTGCTGCTGCTGCTGCTGCTGCTGCTGCTGTCTCGTTTTTTTTGCGTTTTGTCGCACTCTGGAGCTCCCAGTTAGCCACAATAGCTGCAGCATGAAAACAAGTTTTTAAAGTTCTTACTTTCTGCTTCTGCAGCTTTTCTTGTCTCTGCATTTTTCCTTCCCAGAGCTACTTGGAAGACACAGCGCCCGAGCCAGCAGCAGCAGCAGCAGCAGCAGCAGCAGCAGTTTCTGCTGCTGTTCTCCCGCAGACCCGCACCGGAGTGCAGTTCATTAATGTGGAAATCCGCTACCGTACATACACCCCAGAAGACGAGGGAGTTCTCAGCGAAGTAGCCCCAGAAGGGCCCACAGGGGGCCCCCCGGGGGCCCCCCCGGGGGCCCCCCCGGGGGGCCCCCCAGGGGCCCCCCCAGGGGGTCCGAGGGACCTGGAAGCCGACGGCGCAGCAGCAGCAGCAGCAGCAGCTGCTGCTGCTGCTGCTGCTGCTGCGCCTCGGCGGCCAGCGTATCTGCTGAAGCCAAGCATAATGGACTTCTCCGCAGAAGTGAAGACTGGAGAAAGAATTGGAATTGTGGGGCGGACGGGGGCTGGTGGGTGTGTTGGGGTGTATGTACAGACAGCTGGCTGTTGCAAAGAGTTTGGAGCATTTAACTTCAATTGCATGCATTTATATTATGTCAATTGCATGCATTTAACTTCAATTGCATGCATTTAACTTCAATTGCATGCATTTAACTTCAATTGCATGCATTTATATTATATCAATTGCATGCACTTAACTTCAATTGCATGCATTTATATTATGTCAATTGCATGCATTTAACTTCAGTTGCATGCATTTAACTTCAATTGCATGCATTTATATTATGTCAATTGCATGCATTTAACTTCAATTGCATGCATTTAACTTCAATTGCATGCATTTAACTTCAATTGCATGCATTTAACTTCAAACGCATGCATGCAGCAGCAAAACGCGTGCATGCAGCTTCAAAACGCATGCACTTAACTTCAAACGCATGCATGCAGCAGCAAAACGCATGCATGCAGCAGCAAACGCATGCATGCAGCAGCAAGCGCATGCATGCAGCAGCAAAGCGCATGCATGCAGCAGCAAAGCGCATGCATGCAGCAGCAACACGCATGCATGCAGCAGCAAAGCGCATGCATGCAGCAGCAACACGCATGCATGCAGCAGCAAAGCGCATGCATGCAGCAGCAAGCGCATGCATGCAGCAGCAAAGCGCATGCATGCAGCAGCAAAGCGCATGCATGCAGCAGCAAAGCGCATGCGTGTGGCTTTGGGTTTTGCTGCAGGGAAGTCGACGCTGCTGCAGGCGCTCTTCGGGCTGCTGCCGTGCCACAAGGGGCAGCTGCTGCTGGACGGCGTTTTGTTGTCTTCTTTGTCTCGAGATTTAATTAAATCCATTATTGGCTTTTTGCCACAAAGGGCTCTTGTCTTCGAAGGATGGACTGTCAAAGACGTCCTCGACCCCCGCGTGCGCCTCCCCTTGCTGCACTGCAGCAGAATGCAATTAGCACAAAATGTGAAAAGCAGTTGCTTCGGAAGCAATTGCTTTTCACATTTTGTGCTAATTGCATTTCAATAATTTCAATTTTCTGTTTTTTTCTGCAAGCCGTTTCGTCTTTTTTCTTTTTTGTTTCTCCTCCGTTTAGGCTTGTTAAGCCTCTTTTCTTTCAAGTTCTTCTTAAATTCTTTTTAAATTCTTTTTGAATTCTTTTTAAATTCTTTTTGAATTCTTTTTAAATTCTTTTTTTAAATTATTTTTGCCTTTTGTTGCATCTGTTTTTGATTCCTTTCTTTTCTTCTGCAGCACGTACACTCGGAAGCCACTCTCTGGAAAGCTCTGCGGGCTGTTGGCCTCGAAGAATTAATTTCTTCTCTTCCGGGAGGTTTGCAGCTGGACACAGTGGTTGCTGCAGACACAGCAGCAGCAGCAGGCTTCAGCAGCAGCAGCAGCAGCAGCAGCAGCAGCAGCAGCAGGTGCACGCTCTCGGCCCGCCAGCTGCGCTACTTGGCTCTGGCTCGCCTCATTGCAGACGAAGACAAACTCCGCGTGGTGCTCATTGACGAGCCGCCTGCAGAAGAGCTGTGGGGCGAAGTCATCGGCAACAACCTGCAGCAGCAGCAGCAGCAGCAGCAGCAGCAGCAGCAGCAGCAGCAGCAGCAGCAGCAGCAGCAGGAGGGGGAGGAGTCTGCCCTTGGGGAAAATGGCGGAGCGCCGCAGCGCGGCGTGCCGGGCCCCCTCGGTGCTGCCTCCCCCCCCCCAGCAGCAGCAGCAGCAGCAGCAGCAGCAGCAGCAGCAGCAGCAGCAGGGGGGCGCTCAACTGGGGAAATTCTTTCGCAGCACTTGCTGCAGTGCTGCGTCTTCGTAGTGGCCCACCACCTCTCTTCCTTGCGGGGCTGCCAGCGGGTGTGGGTGTTGGCTGGGGGCCGGAAGGTGGGGGAGTGCAGTCCCGGGGAAATAGACTCGGAGTTGAAGTTTCGACTTTTCGTAAAAAAGTGCCTCCAAGGCCAAAAATGACTCTTTTTGAAGCCCCCAGCTTCTTCTTTTCCATTCTGTCCTTCTGCGCGCTTTAAAATGAGCCAAAAAGACCTTTTCTGCGCGAAGATTTCGCACTTTTCGAGTTTTCGACTTTCGAGTTTCGCTGCACCAGGTGCAGTGAATTGCAGCCTTTAGTTCGCTTTATTTGTTCTATTCCCTTTTATTTGTTTATTTTATTTATTTTATTTTATTTATTTTATTTTATTTTATTTATTTATTTAATTTTATTTATTTATTCAATTTTATTTATTTATTTATTTTCTGCTCAGTTGCGCAGATTTCCAACTTTCTGAATATATTTAGAAAAACATTTTCAACTTTTTGTTTCAAGTGCGAAATCACACTGGAATAATAGATATACATATATATAAATATGTATACATAGATATTTATCTAAATAAATAAATATATATATATATATTAAATATATATATAAATATATATATATATATATATTTAATACATATATATATATATATATATATTAAATATATATATATATTTAATATATTTATGTTTACAGATAAATACCTTTTAATGGATTTATAATTGTGGACAAGTAGTGGCAATTTGTTCTCGGAGTTACTTTGAGAATAGTTTTGAATATTCTGTTGAGCTTTGCCCTCTAGCTGAGGGAAAACTGAATTGTGGCGAAGGCAGCAGCAGCAGCAGCAGCAGCAGCAGCAGCAGCAGCAGCAGCAGCAACAGCAGCAGCAGCAGCAAGAAGAAGAAAAATTGAAAATTTGAAGCCCTCAAAAGCAGCTCTAAATCCTCGAAATTCCGAAGAGTTGTGTGCGAGTCTTTTGCTGCTTGAGGGGTTTCAAAAGTTGTTCAACTTTGCAAAAACTTGAAAACGAAATCAACTTGAAGTTCAAATTCGTTTCGAGCTGCTGCAGCAGCAGCCCCGTTTTTCGGAAGCTGCCGACGCATGCAGCGCGAAAACACTTCTTTAATTGCTTTTAAATGTTAAAACAAACATTTTAAATTGCGAAAAGACATTTTAAAAGAACTTTCTCGCAAAATAATATCCTTTCCCCTGCGAGCCTGCGCAGCGGCGCTGCGGTGTACGTACACCGCAGGCGCTGCGGTGTACGTACACCGCAGGCGCTGCGGTGTACGTACACCGCAGGCGCTGCGGCTCGGGGGCCAGGCTGGACTTGAGCTGTTCTCTGCCATTTTGAGGCTCCAGAAGCAGCAAATTGGAACTAATTTGAAAAATAGAAAACAAAACTACTGCTGCGAGTCCGGAAAAAGATAAACGTTTTTGTCTCGAGCCAAGAGGGCCTCGAGCTCCGTTTCGCTCAGCAGCAGCGCCAGCGGCGAGGTGTACGTACACCCCGCGGAGCTGCCTGTACACCGCAGCGCCGCGCAGGCCGCGATTTCGTCGAAGAAGCCGTCGACGACAGCAGCGTCCTCGGGGTGTACGTACACCCGAACTGCTGCTGCTGCTGCAGCACAGTCCAGCTGCAGCTGCTGCAGCTCCCCGGGGCCGCTGTAGACGCAGCAGCGCACGAATTCCAGAGCAGCACGAGCAGCAATTCGAAAGACTCCCATCAGAGCTTTGCTGCGGCTCTGTGCTGCAGCAGCAAACACTCGCTGCTTCCTCGCAAAGAGTCTTTCCATTTCCCTTTCTATGGGGGACCTTCTCCGGCCCAGGGGCCGCTGCAGCCGCCGCTGCGGCTGCAGCAGCAGCGCAGCAGCAGCAGCAGCAGCAGCGCCCCCCGCCCCCTGCGCCCCTGCTGCTGCTGCGCCTGCTGCTGCTGCTGCGGCTCCTGCTGCTGCTGCTGCTGCTGGCCGCTGCGCACCGTCCTCCAGCAGCAGCGCCAGTTCGCTGCTGCAGTGCTGCAGCACTTTCATCAGAGGCAGGAAGCAGCCGGAGGCCCTTTCGGGGGGCCCCCACTTTGCTTCTTTTTCATTTGCTGCTGCTTCTAATTGCATGCTTTTGCTGCAGTCTTCAGCGCCACTATTGCCACTGTTGCTGCCACTATCATTGCCATTGCTGCTGCTGTTGCTGCTGCCGTTGCTGCTGCTGTTGCTGCTGCCACTGCAGCGCAGCAAGTGCTGCGCAGCAAGCAGCGAAACTGTTGCTTCTGCTGCTGCTTGCCCCCGGATAAACACATAAGCTGTCATGAGGCTTTGCGTTGCTGCTCGCAGCCGCAGGGCCACAGGCAGCACCCGCGGCCTTTCCTGCGCAGCAGCAGCAGCAGCAGCAGCAGGCGCAGCAGCAGCAGCAGCAGCAGCAGCAGCAGCAGCAGCAGCAGGGGCTGGTCTGCTGCTGCTCAGCCAGCCAGCCTTCAAAGAAGGGAACAGTTCAGAACCAATTGCTTCCAACTTCGAAAGTCCAGTTCGCTGCAGACTGCGGCCGATGTGTAGATACACCAGAAGCAGCGCTGGGACCAGCGGGGGCTGCGGTGTACGTACACCTGAAGTTTCAGGCGCATGCAAGTCCGCAGCAAGGGCTGCCCGCAGCGTCGCCTCCACCTGAAAACAAACACCAAATAACAAATAATAATTTAATTTAATGTAAATATATATTTTATAAATAAATTATAAATAAATAAACTGAAAGGAAGCTGCAGCGGGGCGCGAGAGCAGCAGCAAGCCGGGTGCACGCGCAGCAGCAGCGGGGTGTACGTACACCCCAGCAGCAGCGCACCTGCGCAGGAAGCCAGTGCTGCTGCGGATTTTTTTCATTTAAAAGAATTTGCTGCTTTTCAGTTTCTGAAAAGTCTCGGAGAACATCTTCTAGAACTTCAGAATAGCCACTAAAAGCAGCAGGAACATCTTTTGTCATAGCGGCCACGAGGCGGACAAAAAGTTCAAAGAGGCCCCACACCCAGGGCGTGATGTGCTGCTGCACCAGCGCAGCAGCCTCTGCTGCTGCTGCTGCTGCGCCTGCTGCTGCTGCTGCGCCTGCTGCTGCAGCTGACCGCCAGCTGCTGCTGGCCCCCTGCAGCAGCTGCTGCGCGTCCGTCAAAGCCACGCAGCCCTCAACCACAACAGCTTGTGCTGCTGCGTGCTGCTGCCGCAGCAGCAGCTCGAGTTCTGCAGGGGAGAAGTCCGCAGCAGCTGCGGGGGAGGCCTCTCCCTGCTGCTGCTGCTGCTGCTGCTGCTGGCGCTGCTGCTGCTGCTGCAGCGTTGCTGCAGTGGAGTCGTGCAGCTCCTGCGCCACCTTGGCGTAGGCGCGCTTGAAGGCCAGGGCGGCGGCCTCGAGCAGAATGTTTTGCTGCGCTGCTGCTGCTGCTGCTGCTGCTTGCTGCTGCAGCTGCAGCGGCAGCAGCGGCTGCCAGGAGGCCTCGAAGGCCGCCACAACAGCAGCAGTGCCCCTGACGACAGCAGCAGCAGCAGGAACTGTGGAAGCAATCATGGCAGAAAGCGGAGAAAAAGCTGCTTCTAATAATGCAGAAATAAAAGAAATAATAGTTGGAGTTGCTTCTGGAGGCAGTGTGGGGTTTGCTGCTTCAGCTGTATCGACAGCAGCGCGCACCCGCTGCAGCGCAGCAGCCTCCGTCTTGTCTTTTGCTTCTTCACTTTCTTCTTTTTCTTTTTCTTTTAAAACGGAAATAAATTTAAAAATAAATAACAAGTCCTTCACTGCTGCTGCCACCAGCCCCACGTAGTGTACAGACACCCGGCTGCACGCTGCTTCCAGCGCCAGGTCGGCACTTGCTGCGCTCACTTCCTTCACAACATCCACTTCTGCTGCTGCTGCTGCTGCTGCTGCACCGTCTGCTGCTGCAGCAGCAGCAGCAGCAGCAGCAGCAGCAGCAGCAGCAGCACCTTGCGCCTCCCTCGAGAAGCACTGCTGCAGCGCAGCAAAAGCTGCGTGCCGCCGGCCCCGCTGAAACAGCCGCAGCAGCTGCTGCGGCTCTTCGCCGCTGCGCAGCAGCAGCCGCAGCACTTCCGAAGCAGCTGCAGGGTCTAGAGGGGGGCCCCCCGGGGGGCCCCCCGGGGGGCCCCCCGGGGCCCCCCCTGCATGCTGGGCCCTGGGGGCCCCCCGGGCCGCCGTCCC